CGCAGGGCAAAGCGAAAGTTTTTTCAGGACAAGATATGTCATGCCAATACAGCAAAAGACGTGTTTGGGATCGTTAACTGGCACCGAACAGTAGGATCCTTTCGCACCCCACCTCTCAAAGATCCAACCAACCCCGGTGCCTCACCTGCAAACACACTTCAAGACAAGCGAGAAGTACTAGTTCGGAACCTATTGCGAAATGCCTCTGATGCAATAGATGTTCCATTAGATACACCATCAGTCGGCGTCACTAGCCTTCCTTTCCCAGACCTAACCCTGACCGAAATCAAGGACTCGGTCATTAGATCAGGCAACACGGCACCCGGGGATGACGAAATTCCAACGGCAATCCTAAAAATTGGCTGGCCACTAATCGAAACTCGGGTCTGCGATCTTTTTAGAGGCTGCCTCCAGGCTGGACACCACCCTGCTTGCTTCAAGACCGCTGTGCTTGTTATGTTAGACAGGCCCAACAAGACAGATAGATCTAGCCCACGCTCATACAGACCCATTGCTCTCCTTTCGACCCTGGGGAAAGGCCTTGAACGAGTGATCGCCCGCCGCCTCTCTTGGACAGCTATCAGAGCAAAGATAACAGCCTCACAACACTTTAGTGTCCTACCTCTCCGCTCGGCCACAGATTTGACGACCTGTCTAGTACATGACATCGAAACAGCACTGAACAGTAAGCTCACTGCCTCCCTCCTGACGCTTGATGTGAGGGGTGCTTTTAATAGCGTACTTCCTGGCCGACTAGTCCATCGACTTAGAGACCAAGGATGGCCTGATAATTTGGTAAAGTGGGTGGCCTCTTTCGCCTCCAATCGCGTGGCCAAGATTCGTCTAGATGGCTCTACCGGTCCCGAATTTGATGTCTCCTGTGGCCTCCCACAAGGCTCGCCAGCATCACCTGTTCTGTTCATGCTATATCTTGCACCTCTTCTCCACATGGGAACCGCCAAAACAAGATTTGGATACGCAGACGATATCGCCTTCCTTCACACCTCTCCATCCCTCCAGGAAAATTCCGAATCTCTTTCACTCAGCCTCCAGAAAGCCATGGAATGGGGCATAGAGCAGGGCTTGAAATTTGACGAAGACAAGTATGAGCTTCAACATTTCTCTCGCTGCCGACTCGACCAACAACCCACAAATACTCCCATGGTAAGTGCTGGCGCTATTTGTCACAAACCATCACTGGGATGTCGTGTCGCACCCAGGCAACCGAGTTATGACGTGCATACAATAACATTCTTTAGGTATTGTAATGGTTACAGTGTTGTGATAGCAACAGTTGCCATTTAGAGTACTAGTTAGTTACTGTGTTATGGCTGTAAACTACTACACCCTTGATTATAGTATTGAAGCTCGTGTACTTAAGGAAGCTCTAGGACTGGATGTGTACTGTAGCTTTTTGTCTTGTAAATTTCTCATATTTTAGAATCTAATTATTAATCTAAATATCTCGTCCTCATTATCAGCCTCTGTCTTCGTCTTCGTCTTCGTCTTCGTCCTCGTCCTAGTCTCCGTCTCCGTCTTCGTCCTCGTCCTCGTCTCCGTCCTCGTCTTCATCCTCGTCCGTGACACTATTACCGTCTCTGAAAATACTACTCGCCCTTACACTCGCTGGCTTGGAGTACTCTTTGATAAAAAGCTCTCCTTTAAGTGTCACGCTCGAACCCTCGCCTCAAAGGCCCTCAAGGTTAGCCATGATCTGTCATCCCTTGGTAATACAACAAGAGGGGCTCCTCCTCATCTACTGCGTCGTGCAGTAGATTCATGTGTCCTCCCCATTGTTTACTACGCCTCAGAATCCTGGTGGCCAGGCAGATCTAGACAAGGTCCCACGGGACGCATATCAAACCGTGTAGATTCCCTACTACAACAGCTCTCCAAGGTCGTGCTTGCCTCTGCCCGCGCGACACTTCCAGTGTATCGCACCACACCAACAGCGATACTTCATCGCGAATCAGGGCTACAGCAGCCGGAAATAGCCCTTGATGGCCGTGCACTTGCAGCCACCGTCCAACTACGCCGTCTGGATCCTCGACACCCGCTCTTACGCCGTGCTAACAGAGTTCTCAGCTCACAGCGTGCTACCTCTCGATTTGCCCGACGTGTACTTTCACTCCCCAGATCAGAGCAAATCAATGCAATCGCTATTCCTCCTTAGAATCCACGTGAGAGCCGTGAAGCTGCACAATCCCGGGTGGCTGGACCGAACAGTACCACTACAGAGGAAAACAAACAGTCCTTCCTTGACTTTCTTACGACCATCCCCTTCGGAGACATCATTATCTACTCAGATGGCTCTAAGCAACTAAACGGCTTGAGCGGCGCTGGCTTCATCGGATACCAAGGAGGCGTACAAGTCTTGCATCAAAGTCTTGCCCTTGGAAAAGGCGTCGAAGTTTTCGATGCGGAAGTAAAAGGTGCCCTAGAGGGGGCAAAGTCCGCACTAGCACTCCCAACTGCCAAATTCGCGACAGATCTATGGATTTGTCTAGATAATCCGGAAGTTGCCACTCGACTGTTATTCCCCTTTTCAGGGTCCTCACAAGCGCAATTTGACGAGTTCCTCACCTTAAATCCCAAATGGCAAGACCGCTCTCGGCTGGCCCACACTAGACGGGGCCAAATCCGGGTCCGATGGGTTCCGAGTCACGCATCGATAGTTGGAAATGAAGCTGCGGACAAAGCAGCGAAAGATGGCTGCCAGTTACCAACTCCAGATGACCTTGCTTTCACATATGCGGGGCTAAAGCGCTGGGCAAAAGAGTCAACAACGCAAGCCTCTCGCAACCTCTGGAGAAATCTACTTCCCCAGCACCTAGGCTACGAAAAGCTAGGAATAATATCAGCACCCACTAGGCCAAAAGAACTTGCCCTTCCGCGCGCCACTCTAGGTCGAATTCTAACAGCTAGATCTAGGCACGGCGACTTCGCTGACTATCACGAGCGGTTCAATCATGAAAATGCATCAAATTACTGCCGATGTGGCCGTCGTAAGGCCCCACTATATTGCTTTTTCTGTCATATAGCGAAAAGAAGATCACGACTAATGCAGGGTCCGCCTTCGGAAATGATCCCGTTCATTCTTGGCATATATGAAGGAGGTCAAAGATTTGGAGAATGGCTACTGGAAACCCGATTCTTCACAGATATCTGCCCATAATCTTGAGGTTTCAAGTGTCGCGAAAAACCAGCAAACGAAGGAAGGAAGATAAGCAATTTAGACTCCTTTTTTTTTCTAATTTATTTTTCCGGTAGTGGAGGTCAACAGGGAGTGTAGGTTGACCTGCGCAGAGAATGGCGCCGAGCAAGTATCTTACCACCACAAATAAGAGCCTAACAAACTGCGGGAAGTAGCTATGTGAATGCACCTCCTTTATATGTTAAATAGTTTAATTTTGTTTTTTTGCTTTCCTTTAAAACATGTAGAAGCCCAGAGATTAAATCCTGGCGTCTTTTGTCTCAGTAGGGACTTAATAGGGTTACTCGCTTGACGCGTTATCCGCCAGACGTTAAATAAAGATAAATAAAATAAATAAATAAATCATCAATCTCTGCTATCCATCGCAATCCCGAGTATCAATATGAGTTACTATCAAATGGTATGTTTGTACGGGTCGACATCAAGATAGAAATGTTAACTCATTAATGTCGCGTACAACAACTAGGACGAAGACAAAGGCAGAGACTGACAAGGAAATTGACGAGATATTCAAGTTAATTATGAGATTCTAATATATTAATAATTTACATAACTAAATGTTACAATCAGAATCCAGTCCTAGAGTTTCCTTGAGTACACGGGCATCAATACTGTAACCTATGATGGAATAGTCCTCGGCTTTAACACAGCAACCAATTAGTACTTCGAATGGCAACTGTTGCTATCCTAACACTGTAACCATTATCATTCCTCAATTATGTTATTGTCTATACGTCATGACTAGTTTTACTGGGTGCAACGCAACATCCCAGAGATGGTTTGTGACAATTAAAGGTTCAAGAAGGACATAGTAGATAGTCAATGAAAACACAATAAGATTTACGTGTAGATATGTCTGCTACAGCAACGACACTCGAAGCGTTATATTCACAGGCTTTCAAGTAAAGCTAGAGGTTTGTAGGAGACACCACTAACAGGTGTTGAGCTCTCGACACCGACGGCCATAGAGACAGGAGTCAAAATCTACTAGAAATTTAATGATGCTTTCATTAGACATGTAAGACGACTTCGACCTGTCATGTTGTTTTTGAGTGGGTGTCACTAGATGCAAGCGTATTTTCATGTGCACCTGATTGGATATACAATAAATTATAGGCTAGTCTTACTGGGAGTTCAACTCGGACCGTGTACTATTGCTCCATCCATTGTCGAAAGCCAGGAGTACTTCTACCGTCCGTAATAATAGGTGTATCACAGCAGTAGAACTCAGCAGGAGTCATTGGTCCTCATTACGGCAATTTGGTCGCCATGTCCCATCCCCGCCGTGTAAGCGCCAACAATGTAGGCCGATGGGATCAGTCACGGAACGTCAGCAACCAGTAGAGCTATGCCATGCAAGATGGCGGAGATCATCTGTATTGATTTGACTCGATATCGCTTGAAGGCAGGTAGTATTATCCTTGAGACACATAGCCAAGAGACGTGATGCCACTACATGATCCCCGCAGAATCGTTTCAACCTACACAAAAAGTCCTCTGATAAAACCAAGTGTAAAGAGGATAGTCGAGATGCGCGTCCGGCTTCTTAGTTTCGAGGCAGAAGGACATTCTGAGGAACTGAAGATCGAAATATTTCACTATTTTGTAATATAAATGCGCATACCTCATCACACGTGGTGGTTTGTTTTTATCAAGTGACTTAAACGACTATAAACCTTAAAAATTTGATGTCCTGCTGTTGGAAGTAATTCGTGCATACTGAGATCCTTCGCATACCACTAACAGCATTCTTCTCCTACAATCGATAACATCAACTCTCCACAAAATGGACCAACTATCAGAATTATTTGAATACACCTCCTTGAAACCACTTGATACTTTACTTACCCAATTTCAGAGCCAAGTTCGACTCCGAAAATAACCCAATGGATGGTAAATGTATCTTGCAATGCTCCAAATTACTAGCTAACTGTGAAGTAATTAACCACTTTATCGTCCATCTCATAATATACACCATGAATTTCACACGTAATGCAGCCATCATGACCCTTCAAAATAAGCTCGTCTTTTTAATGACCAACATAGCACTCAATAGAGTTTGTGTTTCCGATTTTGGTGACGTTATCAGACCAATAAACAGCTTTGCCAGTGATCGTGTTATCTGGTCCAATGTCATCGAAGTTGCGAATCTAGTCAACAAACTTGGTCAACCAATCCGCACCAAATTAAGGACACCTCTCATGAAAAGCAAGTTGTCAGCAGTCTCAAGGTTAAAGACCGCTGCAGAACAAGAAGATTACGGCAAAACTACCACCTCTCTAACAGTGGCACTCAAGTCTAAACTGTCGGGAAATATTTTTAGACGCGTCGGTAATTTCTGGGAAACATATTTTGAAAATAAACCATGGTCCGATCTAACTAGACGTATCTGGGAAAGCTATCGTGACAATGGTCAATGCGGACCCGACAATGTATTCACGGCTAACATGGACGAAACAGTACTTCGAAGCTGGCTGCACGCATTTCGAGATCGTTTCTTTTCGCAGCTAATGCCACATACAAATGTTCCCGACGCTGATCACCCAGTGATTGAGAGAATAGCCGGAGATCCCCATGTGCGCGGCAGATTTTCTCATACTACAAAGAAAAATCAACTCAATGGTGGCCTAGGCACACGGCAATTGGATTTCTTCATTGAGAGTTCTGATATTGCCGATGACCTGGAACATCAATGGCGAGATGTCAGGGTGTTGACTGAAATAACCTCTCACAAATATATGGCAGCTATAAAGATCCATCAGATGATGAGATACGTGCGCGAGGTATTCGACTCACAGCCGCTGCGTAGATTTGTGCATGGGTTTTGCTTGCACAAAATGTACGTGGAGTTCTGGATTGTGGATCGAGCAGGAGCATACAGCTCGGCTCAAATAAAAATCCTGGACAATCAGGAAAAACTGGTCCGAGGGCTATCCTCGTACATGCTGATGAGCGACAGAGAATTCGGACTAGATCCAGTAATAAGCTACGATGATGCTGAACGATGTTTTGTCACGATATCTGACGACAATCAATCAATGGAAAAAATTGAGGTACATCCCATGCCTGTGACGGAAACCGATTTGGTTGTGAATAAATCGATTTATTAAACTATATGAGGAGAAAAGAGAACTCTAGCTACGACTAACAGGTATTTATAAGAATTGGTCCCCTTCGTCAATCTCCAGACTGATGACTTATCCTTAGGCACAATACTTGCTACCCAGCCACGCATTGCCAGGTGTTACTTAGTTGTAGTAACGCTTCGACCTCCTGACTAGTAGTGCCGCCTAGTTCTAAATATTCCCAACAATCCGCTTAGGAATTCACCTAAGCTCTAATAGCGGTCAAACCGTAACAATGTCCTTATCTCGGCCGGAGACGATAGCCTCACGAGGAAATACGTGCTTTAAGACAAAAGATAACGAAAGCTTGATCAAATTTTCTTGGGGCTCTGGAGCGAAACAAAATGAAATCGAATTCCTCAAACTTGCAAAAGACTTGAATGGCGTACTCCAGCTGAAGACTTCTGGGGATCTTTATGAGGTTGAGATACACCGAGAAAGTGTTCAGCCATCGGAGAATCTAAGGTGGTATCTGAATGTCATTGATCGTACTATGTCCCACGGCAACAGGACGAAATCTCTGAGTGAGGAATTTTCCACGAAACGGAAACTCACATTTGCCAAACTGTCACCAGTTGGACGTCCCCTTGAATCTTCTCTAACGGTGCGAGAGTTTGTACGTGGCATACGTGATGCCATTGTTGGACATCGTAACCTGCATGGAATTGGTATTGTTCACGGCGATATTTCTGCAGGAAACATCATTCTGACTCGGCCGGATGAAAAGGGGATAACAAAGGGAACGCTTATTGATCTAGATATGGCCTCATTCCGTATGGATGAAAACGAGAAGGACCAGCCTAAAGCAATCACCGGTACGACAAGATACATGGCTTTGGAACTGTTACGAGCCATCAGCCTGAGGAAGCTAAGCTTAAAGCAAACATATCGGCATGACCTCGAATCATTTTTCTACGTTCTGATAGTAGGATGCATGAGGTACGGTCTCGAAAAGTTGCCCGAACTACTGAAGACATGGTCTTCAGACTCCCATACTTGTTTTCTCTCGAAGGAAGCTGCTATCACCAAAACCTTTGAGACAATGATTATAGATGGATTCCTACCGAGTTTTGAAGTTACTATGGAACTGGCAAGGACACTTCATGAAATACTGTTTGGTGATGAAGCAGTTGAATACGGTTCACCGGAAGATCCTAACGTGCATTATGATCCTATAATCGAAGCCTTTAAAAAGACTTTAGAAGCTCGAAGGTAAGCAATAATTTTGATATCATGATTAACTTTCCACTCTTCGCTCAAATTGCTGACTAAATCCATCATATTAACAGCATACTTCCAAGACAAGAAAGAGGACGATTGTATTCGACAAGATGATGGCGCTGGATCAAAAGGTAAGAGAAAAGTACAACAGCTTTCAGAAGCGTAGGATTAAAGATAGGCCGTTTACAAAAATGTATATTCACTTTCTCAAAAATTTTAGAAAGAGATTCATTAAATTGAGTAGGACTGCTATATATTCATTAATGACACTACTCTCGAGTACCATGACAGATAAAGTGAATTGCGAACAGCTCGCGTAATGCAACATTATATCTGTAACTATTGATGGCTAAGAATGACCATCGGAGAAGTTGGACAGTGTTATGGTGGGTGATAGATAGAGTGGAGGTCGCCGTCTGCTGTGAATCTCCCTGTAATAACTAGGCGAGTGACTAAGAGAGAATATAAGTGAGAATAGATCCGGTGGGTTGACTTAGTTGGCGAGATGCCGGGAGGTCAGGACTGAGGGTTAAGAGGTCAAGATAAGCAGGAAGATATTTTGAGAGTATTGGACTAAGGAGATATAAGATTGAGAAGCTGAAGAACTACTTTAGGGTAACATCAGCATCCTTAAGTACAACTAACTATTTGATCTAAGTGAGGCTTTGGAAGAGTATGCCATGGTGAGCCCATCCAACTGTAATCGTCAGAGGTTTCCCGGATATTTTCTCATGGAATCTTTCCCTGAAAAACTTTCTCCTCGAACATTCTTCAATGTTGCCCGGCCACAACAGAGAGGCTTGTATCTCTGGTCAAAAACAGGGACTGTCTACATGTATGTGGTTGATTTGCTCCGATCAGCGCTCGTTTTCTGTGTTTAGAACCGCAAGTTATCCATTTCTACTGCAAGTTTCTGTTTGGAGTTCAAGAGATCATTTCAATCATGACCAGTCCATGTGGCCTTTTAATTCCGGGAGAAACAGAAATTTGGTTGTTTTTCCCGAGTTATCTTTTTCTTTAATCACATATACTCTTTAACTGTCATAGGTCAGGCTCCCAGATACCTCATAGTAACTCACCTGCCCAGAAATGACTCGGCATATCGTGGCTCGATTCATTGAAGAAACGTGTATTTCAGCTACCTTTTTTGTTCTAAAGGTGGTTGTTAAATGAAGCCAGCAGTATATATTATTGAAATTAAGACATACCAGACCGAACTGCACGCAGTGCGGAGTAGACGAAGACTGCTTATCTTCGGTAGCTACCAGCTTTGGTGACGTCTCGGTGGTGGGAATGTTATTCCATCATGTAATCAGAACACAATATTTCTACCTATGCGAGGCAGAACATAGATAATTGAATGTAGATTAAATCCTAATATCTTTAAAAACTTCAATTTTCACGAATAGCTGCACAACGTTCCACGAACGTTATTTCATCGTTTCATTAATTGCTACTATCTTAATCGACCCTTATTATCCGATTCCCCGATTTTTTCGCGCTGCGCTTCGGCATGGTGGATTGGGGAACCAGAAATGTGGTTTTCACTGCAGGAAAAATTTTCACGGCACCACCAAAACCCCCAACGGACAGCGGAACAGCCGCAATTATGGCTGTAGATTCTCTCGCGACATCTACAGGCGTTAACATGGACAGTTTGAAATCAATAGGGCTTTTTCTAGACAAGGTTCGCGACAGACTGGTCATAGTAGGTACTAACCCAACTGCGGCACCGATGGCGGAGGTAGATGGGGCTATTGACGCCCTCAAGTCGCACGCATTGTCACTACAATCGATAATGAAAGCGACACCAATGGAAGACAGGATGCTGGCCTTGGAGAAGGCAGTAACGAAGAGTCTCGAGGAGCCAGTGCGCAAGATGGCTCCTCTGTCGACACAAGGAATGGGAGGGCGACCAACTTACGCCTCGGTCGTTGCACCTCCCGCAACTAAAGCGGCAGTAAGAATACGAATTCAAGGGGCAGACAAAATGCAGCCGGTAGAGCTGCTAAATAAAGCAAAAATACACATCGAGGGAGCATATGCCGTAAGGTAGTTGCGGAGTAACGATACTGAGGTGTTCGTGCAGTCGATCTCTCAGCGAGACGCTGCCCTGAATATGGCTCTGCCAAAGGAGTTCTGCGTCTGGAAGCAGGATTATCCTGTTGAAATTTTAGGAGTCCCACTGGGGACAATGATACATGGAGGAAAAAATGCCGATAACGGCAGAATGATATACCAAATCACTACGGAGACTAAAGTTCGGATTCCTGGAATCCAAATCAACAGGTTAAGATGGCTCTACGACGGAAAGGAGCACTAATGGATGAAAAAGATCGGCCATACTCGAGGGTCGGTGATCGCTAGCCTGCCGACAGAGGCTCTTCAACGTGAGGTGATTCGAAACGGCATTGTACTCAATTCAATGCTGTACACGGCCCAGCTCTGGTCACCCCGGGCTCAAGTTAAGCAGTGTTTCAGCTGCAGTCAATGGGGGCATACTCAAGCCTCGTGCAATAGGGCGAAAAGATGTGGTGAGTGCGCGGGCACTCACCAGACTAGAGACTGCCCGAGGAAGTCGGTGCTCTGCTGCAACTGCGGCAAAGCCCATTAATCGTGGCAGAAGGGGGCGTGTCCAAACTTCGCGTCCTACAAGGTTAGTGTCCAGAGGGCACGGTATGCACTTTTGGAAAGAACGGCAGATCTAAGAATGGAGGAACTAACAGCAGCGTCCACTCCAATATTAACAGCGGCAAAACAAGTAGACAACCAAGGGTTTACACTGGTGTCCAACCAGAAGGCAGAGGCCGGAAAGAGAGGGCCAGGGCGCCCGCGGAAAAATCCCGTGGCCACAGCCCCACCTACACACCAATTTGCGCCATCGGGGTCGAACTCAAGACCACAGTCATCACTTTTCGGCACGCGAGGGCAGGGAAAGGATGGCGAGGTCACCTATAACTTTAGCTAGTCCTGTCTCGGACTAACAGCACATTGCGCTTCCTGTAGGTTAACGAAGTACTACAGTAATAATTTGAAAGAGAAGGGGGTTTTTATCGGAAGGTTTCCCCCTCCTGTAAAATATCTTTAAGTAGAGTTTATAGCCACCTGCATGGGCCCATAGGGCGCCAAATCAGATTAATGAAATCAAATTCAAAAATCCTAATATCTTTAACCAAATACAAGTTTAGTAAAACCCAAAAACCTCACTGATCCTGAAATCGCCAATATCTTGGGATATACAGTATTGACTTGAAGGACAATATTCGCTTCTATCATTCCAGGTACCTCCAGAACTATAATATTTATGACCTCTTCAATGGAATGACAATGGTTCAAATCGATTTCAGAGAGGTGGAATTTCTCACTATCACGCTCTAATCTTCCACGCAAATTTACTTTGTAGAGTCATCCAAATTCGAATATTATACTTTGATATTTTTGGGCTTCCAAAGTGCTAAACAATTAGCATCCAGGGATACTATTCTCAACAACTATCAGTGATGCTCCCTCCTGTTGAAATATAATATTTCTTGAAGACTGAAAATAACATATATGTAGGTCAGTTTATTCAGATGAGCAAATCCTCCATCCTTTGTTGTAGATGTCACTACATTCGGCGCTAAAAGTTAAATATGCAATAATAATTATTATTCATTATCCTGATTTGGTGCTTTGAGGCCCATGCAGGTTTCATGGGAAGATATGTACATTTAGTAGGATGACTCAATTTGACGTTTAGAACACTCACATTCCAAATTCATTTGTAGATACCACTCGAGGTTAATCCTTGCGGCGTGGAACGTCTTCCGTGCATACCCACTACAGGGAAAAGCGTGAAAACCTGTAGCTATGCGAGTGTGCTTTCATCATCTCACAAGTACAATATCACTGCGAGAGAGAATTATGTGTGGATTTTACTGGATCCGAACGAGCATTCTCCTGTCTTAAATGGTATAGGTGTTCAAGTTATCCAGTATCAACTTGGGAGAAGAGCCCGAATGGTGTACCACTACACCATCTAACTCCATACTCCCGTACAGTGAGTAAATCTACAACCACGCTTGCGCCCACATGATAAGAATGGGCCCGGTTTAATGACATAATGATCTTTCATGTATTAACATAGAAATCAAGACTAATTATGTTGATGAGTAACGAGATAGCTGTTTCGGAACGGCGTTAGGAGAGAGGGATAACTGCTGTACAGACGTGTTTCCTATGGTGATAGAGAGAAGAATCAAGATACAAGCTAACCACCAATTGTTATTACTGCTGTCTAGAGCTAGTCATTTGAATACCACTCGAGTAAGCCGACCGGCCCTATAGCTTTAGATAGCCCAGCCACAGTTTCAGTGAGAAGGCTTTCAGGGAAAACCCGGACAGCTAGATATGGAATGGCTGGCGAGATGATTATATCTTCTATAGCCTCAGTAGCATGAATAGATATCTATTCGTGACGCGCACAGGCCAGGCTTTCGTAGAGCTTGACGCGGAGAAGGCGAGTCTTTCGCCGACGACTAGATAAGAATATGACTCAGTTTGGCATCTGGTCTACTCATGTTTTTGTTTTTGCTTTGTTCATTTACGTACTAGGTATAGTGATTCCCGTTGCACTCCTACTGGAGCTTAAGCACGGGTGGGGCCGGGCCGGATCAGGTTAGCTACCGTAAAGTACAAGTGCCTCGTCCCACCTAAATGACCGGACCACCTCAGACTTCACCCATGTGTTGAATCATGTCAAGCCCAACCGTCCAGAGAACCCTCTTTTGACGCGCCGAAGCGCAAATTCCTCCTCAGCCTCGGTCACCACGCGCCCGAACCCTTGACATCCTCATTGACTCCAAAATATAAATGCCGTCCAATATCTCATCGTTTCTCTAGCCTTGCACCTTCATATCGTACCGTTAGGTTGTTGTCGTCATTGAGGATTTGTGTAATCCCCTCGATGTATCTTCCCCTTTCTTCCTCTTTTGCACACGTCCTGTTTGCATCATG